TAAATCATTTCCTTCTCTCCCCTACTCCTCCCCTGTCATTCCTCTTTTTTGCTCTTGTCCCAACTTTCTCGATGAACTCGCACAAAATGCTTGCTATGCAGGCTATAACTACAGAAGACTATAAACACAAATTAAACTGCAAGAATGGATTAGAAAATGACACTGGCACATAATATTTTCCAACTTGCCATGGCAGACAAAATGGTCACAGTTTTTGTCGCTGGATCATTTTTAAAAATTTAAATTGTTGTCTTTCTTGAATTTTAATGTTTGATCAATTTTATTTAGGGTAAAACAGAACTTATAGCTACATGTTTGCACTTCAACTTTTGTTATTCCAGGATCTTGATGTTTATGCTTCTAATTACACTGGCCTCACAAAGCTTAGCAGATTACTCTTTGTTGCCAAGCATTGTCCTGCCCTTGAAGTTGATGCCCTGAGGTAAAACAATAGCTAATTTATTATAATTCCTTTAAATTAATATATTTTTTATATACAATGTAATAACACTAAATGTAAATAAACCAATAATAATTTACAGTTATTTGTAATTTGTTATGCATGACTTGATCTTATCAACCCCACCAGGCCTGTAATCCTTTCTTTAAACTTTCACAAATAGTGGGTTACAGTGGTGACTGAATTGATTCAATTTGTTTTGATCCAGGTATAAATAAGTGAGTAAATATGAATTATCATTATACTACCGTTAAGGAATTATACCTTGTCATTATCTCTGTTGTTTTGAGGTCAGTTAAGAGGTGCTTTGAACAGCAGATTGGTCAACATATTTTCGGTAGTGTTCTCAGCTAAGTAAGTATAGATTCAAGCAGATCCGAGTACTTTGGGCTTGATTTAAATGATCTATAAATATGGCTCAAAAAATATCGAAGTTCGTACTATCTTTTGAACCCAAATTGTGAAAATTGTATTGCTGTCACTTAGGCGCCGGATTCACGAAGCATGTTAGTGGTGAATAAAGCTCTTTCCTATGCAGTTTAATGACTCTTTTGGTGCTAAGATCAAAACAAGGCTGCACTGCATGCTTGCGATCGTGTAAGATTTTAATGCTTCTAATGCGCAGTCCTTCTAGATATAAAAGAAAACGAAACGTAAAACGCCTTGAATCAGCTTCCTAATTTCGATTGGCGAATTTTTGTTAATTTTTTATCGCATCGCTTTCCAGTTAAATTTAACTTTAATTGCTTGTTCTGTTTCCAGTTGCAAGGAGCCAAGTCAATAAGCAAACAGACCTTCTTAGCTTCTGTTTTGTTTTCTCGATGCAGGTCAAGTGATAATACTCCAGAAAACTGTTTGTTTCAAATAGCTTTATATTCACGAGCATATGTACTCATATTTTATGAAAAGACTCTTGGGGCAAATTCCCCTGGGACCCTCACTAGGAAAACAAAACGTACTAGCTAAAGAGGTCTATCGATGAATACCGTGTAGACGAACCGCAGCCGTGCGCGACAAAATGCTTGCAAAAACGAAATTTCGCATCTTTAGAAAGTTAATCGCTGACATTTCAAAACGAAATGTCGGAGATAGAGTATAGACAATTGGACGAAATTCTGCGAATTTTGTCCTAAAGTCTTTTTCACAGTACTGTGGGTATACATGTATATATATCCTATTAAAAGTTAAGCCTACTTTAGAGTAGACTTACAAGTAGGATATTTGCAAAAAGGACATGTGCTGAAATTAATGTCCTAATGTTCCCAAGTTATATCTCAGGATATATCTTAGGCAGATTTCTTATTAATGGATTAGCCTATTTATATCTTTTGTTCAGTGTTTGCTTTCTTTATTGTAATTTCCGCGGTTTTTCTTAAATTTCCTTGTTTTTTTTGCTTAAAAAGCTAGATTGGTAGCTTTGTTATGTTATCAGAGGGACTTTGAAAGCGATCGAGACTCTAATAAACCATCTTGTCCTTGAAAAAGTCCAGATGCCAAGGAGTGAATTCTAAAATTGTCTGGTTTGAATTCAATGACTTGAAACTTGTTTATGAACCAAGTTTTAAATGAAAAAAAAGTTTTGGAAAATAACAAAAGACCACACAAAAGACGCATATAAGTAAAATTAGACTTTATTGTGCTTTCTTGCATGCAGAGCATCGCAATAAAATGTAAAAATGCGTTATTTATGCCGCATTTTTACGTATTAATTCAATCAAGCCCAGAGTAACGTATCATTACGCGCAGCGGGTTCAAATATTGTCTCCGGCTAAGCCAAAAAAACTATCGAATGAATGTTGACCAATTTTTGCCCATATTTGCAGCACCTCATAACATCTCCTAGCCTTATAAACTGTTCACAAGACCCAATTACTCCATTATACTAAATATCAATCCTGTTGGATTCTTTGGCTAAAATTTTAGCTGAATTGATTTTAAATTTAGACGATCATAGCAAAATGCGAATTATTTGATCTTTTTCAACAACTTGTAGAAAGTAGCGCTTCTGAGGGAAACGAAATTCACTTTATTTTGGGAACAGTCAGTTAAAAAAGCTGACGGAATATATAAACTCAAATCTTTATGTTTTATACTGACATTCAGAATATTTTTAGAAATAGCCCAGATAAAAATTCACCAATTAATCAAATTAAGTTTTTTTCCGAAACAAGTTCGGCTTTTTTTTCCCCAGTTGTAAAACAAATTAATAGTCTAGTCTATAATATTAAATGTACTTATCTGTTGGCCTTCTGTTCGCCTGTCGGAACGCACTCTCCAAGGACTCTGTATGTACAGTGTTGAACGGAAGCGAATGGGCGTTCGTTGAATGCGCCATCAGATTTACAGATTCAGTTTCTGTGTGAAAGTAATTAATTTCATTGTTATGTTTAGTCTTCACAGATTTTCCTGGCTGATTCTTATGCACCATTATATTCCATCAAAGTTGGTGAATATTAATTTACCGACCCCGACAAGCACAAAGGGGGACAAATACTCATTTGTTTAATTCTTTAAGGCAAATGTCTTCCATTTTATTCGTACTTTTCTATTGTAAAATGAAATCATAATTAACACCAGATCGGCGCTCTCGATAAGCATCATTTTGAGACCATCATAATCCATGAAAAATGAATTAAAACCCAAGTAAGAAATGTCCATTTCAGTTAGAAAGAAGAACAGAAGCTAGTTTTGGTTACAATGCCGGTACATTTAAATATTTTTTCGCCACAGAAAATGATTTCTCGGAGATTAAGAAACAGATTCTAACTAGAAATACCTAGGAAAAACTTTAAGGTTAAAACTTTTGATTACCTGACATAAAGAGAGACTGGACAGAGTCAAATGAAAGAAACGGAGCAGCAACTCAAGTTTACTTGTACTTGACTATCGTGGGATATAAGAGTTTGGCCGCGAACTTCAGTCAACACGTGCCGCCTTTACTTTATAACAAATTGCAGTTACAGAGACAGGCTCTGATGTATAAACCTCTGAGAGAAATGACTTATTAAGAGAACAAACCTGTGATCGTCTTGACTGATGTAGCACAAATTAATCCACAAGAGGTAAAACCACAGCATTTAGGTCGCCTTTCCAGACGCTTCTTTCAATTCTATTACTGGGTGTGTTCCTTGGTTTTATACCTTCTGGTACAAACGTTAAGTTATTCAGCTCAGTCGAGAAACACTTTTCACAGAGTTAAAAAAAAAAACAAAAGGAAGTGTTACTTCATGATTGTTCCTAGAAATATGTAAAACCCCACCTCGCAACCTGTTGTTTTCGGCTTGTCGGAATTTGCTACACTGTTTTAATTTGTACAATGTAATTAATCCTCTACGATTGGAATTTGGTAGGTCATTGCATAATGCGCACACAGAATTTCGCAAGCAGGCACATTGCCACCCTTATTTTTCATGGTATTAAGAAGAGAACGGTGTTTTCTCTGTCTAGATTGCGGTGGCGGTGCTAGTTTTGTCACGCTTGCTTCCTTCACTGATCAATCCTTACTGTTAGGAGAACAAATAATGCTACTCTTGAGGAAATGTTCTCTTCTTTTTTCTTCTATGATATAGCGAGGGCAAAACAAGATGCATTTTAGTGGGGTTTTGAATAAAAACGCCTTTACCCGTTGATGAATCGTATAATTTTCGCCCTTGGGGAAAATGCCAACATGAGGTGAGAAAAGATCATCATCATTTGTTTCCTCTTTAGCTTGTCCGGGGTGTAACACAAACGCTGATTTATATTAGCCTGGACAAAGAAGTCTGAAAAATCTGAATGCATTTTATTAATGATACTCGATGAGCAGGGAAGCTTTTAACGTTTAGAACCACAGACCATGCAAAAAAAAAAACAAAAAACAATCGTTTCAAACCCTGCAACAACCGCAGAATGTGCTTTTGACCAGCCAGAGATTATAAAAGCATCGAAGAAGGCCATGATTTACAACATGTCTGTCTGTCATTCACATCAGAAAAAACTTGAGATGACATATTTAACTAAAACCGAGCTCAACAAGCTCAGAATATTTAACAGGGATCGGATTCTGCAATATAATGAACAGAATTGTTAACCCCTATTAAGACGTAGCCAGCTAAACTGAGATGATACGTCAAACTGTCGCAGCTGATAATCTGCAGTAAGCAATTTAGAATAAGCGTCAAACGTTTCTGCTCTTTTCATATAGTTTCACGTAGGTGTTTTTGCGTTATTATATCCTTTGGGTTAGTATTATGCCTCTTCCAAGTTTATTTTGTGTAGCAGTCAGAGCAGTTGTATAAGTTGTGGTTCAATTTTATCCTTGGTTGAAATTTTATTTTCCTTTGTTTTGGGGTATGGTAATGTATGATAATAAGTTTGAAACAAAGGAAAAAAAAAATTTAAATCAAGAATAAAATTAAACTACAAAATATATAAGATCTTATTATCAGATCCCAAGCGCCAACTGAACCCAACTGGGTGGAGATTTTTGTATAACTTCTGTCCATTTGTTTATTATGACGATTCATGATCATTACATGATGGAGTAACTGGTCCGCTGATGAATAAATCGCTTTTCAGCTTGCTTCTTTACTTTTTCCTGCGAAGGTAAAGGATAGAAAAAGTTCAGTTAAAAGGAGCACTTTAGAAGAAAAATGCCCTTGCCAGCCAGAGTAGGGAGACCTCATGAGGTAAGTAAACGTTTATTAACCCTTTTTATCTCCACCGTTGGTTCTTACGGCAATATATATTATAAAAGAGGATCAGTGACACGGCTGTTTTATGGTCGGTACTGCTAAAACTTAATTTGCTCTTTATTTACCATAGTATTACATTCATTCATTTGTACACACATAACCTGTTACATTACAACAAGGCAGGAGATCCAGAAAGCTAAATTAGGAAAAGGTTTATGAGCATAAACTAAGGATATAAACTACAGGTACTTATGCATCAGTCAATTCCAGCTGCACCAGAACACCTCGTCCCCCAACACCCCCCCTCCCCCCCCCACCCTCAGGTGTGGCCCTGGGGTTGGCAAAGGCCTGACCTCCGGGCAGGGCAAAATTAACTGATGCCCCACCCCTGGGATGACAAGCCAGTAATGGCGGGCTGAACACAGCTGGCATTGACTGATGCATTAATGATGAACAGAATTTCACTAGAGAATGACTGTTTTGATGGTTTTAAGCATATCAAGACTCGTCTTTATGAACTGTTTCAGGAAATTTTTTCCTCTTGGTAAAGTGACAGTTTTATTTTCTTATGGAATGTATTGAATGCCTAATATACATGTATAAATATAACCTGCAGAGCTGCCAATTCTTGGCTTACAATTATGTTTCAAGGCTTCTTCTATGTTGAGGGTCAAAACTATAGAATTTTTTCTTGAAGAATTTAAATGAACATAGAGTTCAGTTCCCAGAGGAGAGAAATTCTTTTGTTCTTGACCACCAACATGGCCGCCGTGACGTCACTTGCAAACCAGCAATGACAGTTGTTCATCAGACAACAGTGAACTCACACAACAGGATGGCAGAGGGAAGAAGATGGCAAACCTTGTGTGAAAAGAGTGACAATAATTATGTTAAAAAAAAATGCCAAACTTCACCTTTCATTAAGCAGATCTTTTGGTAAAAAAAACAGAAGACAGTAACGCTATAAAGTGAAAATCATGACAAAACACACAAGTGATAGCCCTGTCACACACAAATGTTTTGCTGTCCCCCCTTCTTTCTGCCATCCTGTTGCATAAGCTCACTGATTTTTTCTGGTAAAATCCTAGCTATGCTCAAATACGATGACCAGACAAATTAAATGCAATGATTTTTAAATTCTTTAATTTGACTTTTTACCATCAAAACCCTCCTTATTTTCCTGAAACATATCTTTAAGGTTATTTTTGTCACAGCTCAACCAGCTTCAAATGGCATTTTCTGGCAGAATTTAAGGATAAGTGAGAAAATGTTATCGCTCACATGGTATAGTGGTATAAGATTTAGAGTCTCTTGGCAAACAAGTGACCTTGGGTTCTAGTCTAAATTGTGTCTTTGTTGTCTTTCTTTCCCTTATTTTTTCCTTTGGCCCATTTTCCCTTTATTCCTACTGCTGTTTGACCCTTAACCAGAGCTTTATTCTTAAGATACTGCAAAATTAATTCATATAATTTTTGTAGTCTGTAATAGTACATTGCGTTATTAAATTTTCTCGTCATAGAATCCAGCTGTAGAACCCATGCAAGTTGATGTATCTCCAGAGAGTGACAACACTCCTCATGAAGATAATTTTATAATTGAGTCTGCAACTTTGGTGAGTACCTGTGTTGGGACTACATGGTGTGTAGTACAGTACAACTGAGAAAGTACGTACATGAGCAGTCGGTATAAAACACGGACTGCAGACTGCGGACTACGGACTGTGGACTGGGTATAGAATACGGATTAGGTATAAAATGCAGACTGGAAAATACGGACTGGGTATAAAACACAGACTAGGTAGAGAACGCGGACTGCGGACTGCAGAATGGGTATAAAATACGGACTACGGACTACTTTGGTAAAAACGGTGCTAATTGATTCTAGGTAAGGAAAATAAGATCAAAAGATCGCTAAACAGCAAGGCACTTGAGTTAAAGTTGTAAATACTCCTATAAATTCTTGGTGGAGGTGTGCTGCCCAGTTCTCTGAATCATGAGCCTGACCAAAATGCTATTTTCTTCACCCATATTTAGACCTGGTCTCAGTCTCTAACAATCATGAAAGGGGTCAGGACGCGGGGGTACTCCCTTAGATAAGCCATATAGGTATGTACTGCCAAAAGGGTGGGGTTTTTGGGCCTTTTTGGTCAAAAAACCCTTTGCCCGTTTTGGTCTGGAATTGGGTATGGTTTTCGAGGGAATTACGGGAGCGTACACGAATGGACGTATTTATCGTTTCAATTCCAAACAAATGAGAACGAAATAGAAATATGCGAATTCAAAATGCATCTGGAGAATTTTTTTTGTTTACGCTCTAACTTGGCAGTGATGACATAATTTCTGCCTAATTAGACCTAACCCATTCCAGGCTCCCAGATAGCTGGGTCTGCTGCAATGAGAAAGCGCGAACACAAAAATAAAACGGGAGAAAACTGGGGGGTCTCCCCAACTATCTGAGAACCTGAACAGGCTAGCCTCCCACATAGACATTATTAGAGGTTTGTCACGCGTTCCTGGCAGGAACGCGTGACAAAACCCTAGGAACGTCGGCGTGGGAGGCTAGGAACAGGTTAAAATTAGGACAGGTCCGACAATGGGTATGGATTTTAGAGATCTTGTCTGAAAACGGGTGTGGAAAATGACATTTTTTGGTCTGAAATAAGGTCAGCATTCGGAATTCCCAGTAGTACCCCCCTCCGGGGGGTCAGGAACAGGGTGTAAATCATGTCATCATAATCATCACTTAGAATATAACGTTGGATGATTCATTTTGGTTATTATTCACGTATGTGATTAATCCCTCCCCACTAAATACTGCTTTTGTACATCGTGGAATGCCCCTACATTGACCTTCTTGTTTGAGTTCTTCATTCAGTTTCATATTCCCAAGGCTTTATTTGAAACGGAATTGTAGCATCTATAAGAATTTACTGATCTGACTAACACCAATACTATTTTTTTTTATTTGGTGCTTCTTATTGGTTTAAAACTGTAAATTGAAATCTCTTCTGACTCCTTTTTGTAAAATTCAGAGTGTAATTTCAGTTGCCTTGAGTACCGGCATATTTCCTCGTCCGTGCCGAGAGAATAGACTACGTGAACGGCTAAAAGATGTTAAAGCTGGGACTACTGGTTTTGCCAGTCCGCTTTCCATTTCGCTCAGTTTTACCTTTCTAAAGCTGTTTTTATATACATAGTTACTGTAATGCAAGACAAGTTCAATGCTTTTGCAGTCACCCTCTGGTGACCTAAAATATTAAAATACTGTATTTATTTGATTAACCGCCCTGGGCGCTTATTAAATTTTTGGACCTTGAGAGTGAGCGCTAATTCGAGGTGGGCGCTTATTCGAGGCTGGGCGCTTATTAAATTTTCAACATTTTCAGCAAGTGTAGCATGTTTATTTTGCAACAAAATAATAAATAGTAAAAACAAAACGCAAAGATTTAACAAAGCAAGGTTTCTGTAAAATACTTTGAAGAAAACTCCATCTTCTGGGAAGTCTCTTATTAGTACTTATTCAATTTTTGGAGGGTGTGAGGGGAAAGAAGGTGGGGTAGGGGTGGGCGCTTATTCGAGGCTGGGCGCTTATTAACTTTTTCTGCCTTTAGGATGGGCGCTTATTCGAGGTGGGCGCTAATTCGAGGTTGGGCGCTTATTCGAATAAATAACCCTTTGCTTGTTTGGTCTGGAATCGGGTATGGTTTTCGAGGGAATTACGGGAGCGTACACGAATGGACGTATTTATCGTTTCAATTCCAAACGAATGAGAACGAAATAGAAATATGCGAATTCGAAATGCATCTGGAGAATTTTTTTTGTTTACGCTCTAACTTGGCAGTGTTGACATAATTTCTGCCTAATTAGACCTAACCCGTTCCAAGCTCCCAGATAGCTGGGTCTGCTGCAATGAAAAAGCGCGAACACGAAAATAAAACGGGAGAAAACTGGGGGGTCTCCCCAACTATCTGAGAGCCTGAACAGGCTAGCCTCCCACATAGACATTCCTAGAGGTTTGTCACGCGTTCCTGGCAGGAACGCGTGACAAAACCCTAGGAACGTCGGCATAGGAGGCTAGGAACAGGCTAAATTAGGACAGGTTCGACAATGGGTATGGATTTTAGAGATCTTGTCTGAAAACGGGTGTGAAAAATGACATTTTTTTGGATTGAAATAAGGTCAGCATTTGGAATTCCCAGTAGTACCCCCCTCCGGGGGTCAGGAGCAGGGTGTAAATCATGTCATCATAATCATCGCTTAGAATATAACATTGGATGATTCATTTTGGTTATTATTCACGTATGTGAGTAATCCCTCCCCGCTAAATACTGCTTTTGTACATCGTGGAATGCCCCTACATTGACCTTCTCGTTTGAGTTCTTCATTCAGTCCTCATATTCCCAAGGCTTTATTTGAAACGGAATTGTAGCATCTATAAGAATTTACTGATCTGACTAACACCAATACTATTTTTTTTATTTGGTGCTTCTTATTGGTTTAAAACTGTAAATTGAAATCTCTTCTGACTCCTTTTTTATAAAATTCAGAGTGTAATTTCAGTTGCCTTGAGTACCGGCATAACTTCCTAGTCCGTGCCGGGAGAATAGACTACGTGAACAGCTAAAAGATGTTAAAGCTGGGACTACTGGTTTTGCCAGTCTGCTTTCCATTTCTCTCAGTTTTACCTTTCTAAAGCTGTTTTTATATACATAGTCCGGAGTCCACATTTTATACCTAGTCCGTGTTTTATACCTAGTATGAGTCCATGGTCCACAGTCTGCAGTCTGTGTTTTATACTGACCGCATATATGAGTGCTAGTGCAGCTAAAGACAGTAATCGGTCTAAGATGGGCACTGTTCAAGTTGTTGAGCTGAGACTGGGGAAATGTTCGTTGTTGTTGTTGTTAAAAACACTGCCACCCCAAGACTTTTGTCCCTGATTGTTGGTGTGTCCAATCTAGGGAAAGGAAAAGTTATTATTTCGTTCTTTAAGTTACTGTAATGCAAGACAAGTTCAATGCTTTTCGCAGTCACCCTCTGGTGACCTAAAATATTAAAATACCGTATTTATTCGATTAACCGCCCTATGCGCTTATTAAATTTTTGAACCTTGAGAGTGGGCGCTAATTCGAGGTGGGTGCTTATTCGAGGCTGGGTGCTTATTAAATTTTCAACATTTTCAGCAAGTGTAGCATGTTTATTTTGCAACAAAACAATAAATAGTAAAAACAAAATGCAAAGATTTAACAAAGCAAGGTCTCTGTAAAATACTTTGAAGAAAACTCCATCTTCTTGGAAGTCTCTTATTAGTACTTATTCAATTTTTGGAGGGTGTGAGGGGAAAGGAGGTGGGGTGAGGGTGGGCACTTATTTGAGGCTGGGCGCTTATTAACTTTTTCTGCCTTTAGGATGGGCGCTAATTTGAGGTTGGGCGCTTATTCGAATAAATATGGTAATGCTCACCAACTGTATGTATAACTATAACATCATCTGATTGTTGGCCAAGTTCTAACTTGTCTTTGAACAAAGTGACTGCCAAGGAAAGCTGTCACAATTCAAGAGGATTACATGTACAGTACTCAAGGTTTTAATACTGAGATAACCAGGGTGAAGCTTAGATATATCTTTTGCAAATATTAATCTTATGTTAACTTCAGTAGCCTGCATAGCAGGCGTTTCTAATCCAGTTATTGCACGTAAGTAAGAGCAGGAGCAAAAAAAATGGAAGGGGAGGGGAGAAGAGGAAACGCTTGCCCGCAAACCCCATGATTCTGGAAAATGCCCCTTGATATTTCACAGTTCAGTTCATTTGTAAATTGACAGCTCATCAAGATAGACGCCAGTATAACGAATAGTCTGAGCAGATTACCAGATTTGTAAAATTTACTTTGTTCTCTAATAAATCACGCTCTGCGCAATTGCAAAAATTTCAATAAAGAAGCTTTACGATAAAAGAAGGTTGAAACTCTGAGCGATTGCTGTTGAATTTCTTGTTGTTTTTTTATTGTCAAGTTAAATTTGGAACTTTGTGTGACTTATGTCATCTGAGACCTTGTCAAAAAATCGCAAAGAAATGATTTGTCCAGAACAATTCACTCTGCCAGCTATGAGTTTTGCAGAGCAGCTGCAAGCCGACCTCTCGACCGGGCCTGGGGTTTGTGGTAAATCATTTCCTTCTCTCCCCTACTCCTCCCCTGTCATTCCTCTTTTTTGCTCTTGTCCCAACTTTCTCGATGAACTCGCACAAAATGCTTGCTATGCAGGCTATAACTACAGAAGACTATAAACACAAATTAAACTGCAAGAATGGATTAGAAAATGACACTGGCACATAATATTTTCCAACTTGCCATGGCAGACAAAATGGTCACAGTTTTTGTCGCTGGATCATTTTTAAAAATTTAAATTGTTGTCTTTCTTGAATTTTAATGTTTGATCAATTTTATTTAGGGTAAAACAGAACTTATAGCTACATGTTTGCACTTCAACTTTTGTTATTCCAGGATCTTGATGTTTATGCTTCTAATTACACTGGCCTCACAAAGCTTAGCAGATTACTCTTTGTTGCCAAGCATTGTCCTGCCCTTGAAGTTGATGCCCTGAGGTAAAACAATAGCTAATTTATTATAATTCCTTTAAATTAATATATTTTTTATATACAATGTAATAACACTAAATGTAAATAAACCAATAATAATTTACAGTTATTTGTAATTTGTTATGCATGACTTGATCTTATCAACCCCACCAGGCCTGTAATCCTTTCTTTAAACTTTCACAAATAGTGGGTTACAGTGGTGACTGAATTGATTCAATTTGTTTTGATCCAGGTTTCATTGGCCTTGTTCTCAAAAATACAGGTGTTGGAGGATGTTGGTACACTGTACTCAGTTGACACTATTAACCAATACATCAGGCAAAACTATCCAGACTAGAACCCATATTCTGTATCTTGACTAGTATTAAAGCTGAGAGCGTTGTTTTATTAGCACTCAGTGCCCCCCTGCAGGTACCTTACCTTTGCTCTTTGGCTATTAGGAAATGTTATTTTTTTCATAGAAATCACAAGTTGGGCACCCTTGATCTCACAGACTCATAGCACTGGGCTGATCCCTTCAGTTTCTCTCAGAGCACAGCCCTGAACCTTTTTTCTCAATGGTTTTGGTAGAAATTTGATTATAAATAAAATGAAAGAAGATCTTTTTATGTATATTTTGCTTTGGCAAAAGGAAGTACTGTAGAGTTGTTGATTGTAATAACATGAATTAACTTTCAGGATAGCCTTGAATTACGTCAAACAAACATTCAATGTGCAGTTATACCAGGAGATCATCACAAGAATGACTGAAGCCTGGTTAGTATGACAGGCTACTTTGAATTCACTTACTTCTATGTAGAATTAAAATGTTAACGTTATCTCCTGAAATTATTCTTGTAAACATGTACATACAGTATGTGACAAAATTATGTTGTTGTTTTATACTCAAGCTGAACAGTGAAAATCTTTAGATTTCTTTTTACCTGGAAAGTGGACTTAGTTTTAAAGAAAGAGTGCTAAAGGAACTGAAGTACATAGAATTATAATCATTATTATTATCATAATGTTAAAATGTTTCTTGTCTTCAGCTCTCGCAGTGAACTTGATCCTCCTCCCATGGACACAACATGGATGGAGACTACAAGCAAGAAAGCTGCATTAAAGGTACTAAACTAATGCAAGCCTGGCAAGGCTGTCTTCCAGTTCAGTCTTCCTCATCACCCTCTTTTTCATTATTTATACAACCCGTAAATATGACAAAAACAAATAAATAAATCAAACCAAGATGAGCACCTGTCTGTACTTAAATTACATGTAGCTGTTGTGAGAAAAATTCATATTCCCTTAGCTTGCTGGCTTATTATACGGTACATAAATAATCGGTTACTGACAATCTTCATCTCAATATGCTGATTAAAATAAAACCAGAGGGACATCTGCATGGTGTATGCCACCTTTATCAGGGCTAGTTTGTTCAAAGCTAGGTTAAGATAACTCAGGGTTAGTGCAAAATTTGAATTCAGATACGAAAGCTTAAAAAGGACATCAGTTTGATTCTTTTTGCATAAGTATAATTTGTTAATTGAATGCCCTAAAATAAATGAGAAAATTATCCTGGGAAATGCTTTTGAAACCGGAATTAAAATTTAACCCCGGGTTAGCGCTAATCGGCCTTCGAACAACTGGGTTCAGATCTGTAATTTCCATTTTTTTAAGTTGTTGTTGTTGTTGTTTTTAAATCACCATTCTACCACTTGTATACTGTAATAATGTAAAGTGTACACTTTGTGTCTTTTAGTACAAGACAATAATATTGAAATTGATGCCTTGTTAGTGTGAGAGCAAACTCTTTGCTGTACAAAGAAGAGTATTGCAACACGTAAACTTAAATTTTTCATTTTTAAAATACTTTTTCTGTACTTTATAGCTCGAGAAGCTGGATACAGATTTGAAAAACTATAAGAGCAACTCCATCAAGGAAAGCATCAGGTAATTGTAAAATATAAATACATTTTATCAAGAAATTACTAATACAGTGTACATGTGTTTTCTTGATTTCAGGTAAAAGGTGATTTAAACTAGCCCTACCTTAATTTTCTTTTGTCTCATAATTTGTAACAAATGTTTCCTAAAACGCACAGTAATTGCATAAGTCATTGCAGTCATTTTATTATCACAAGTTCTATCGCTTCATTATTTTGTTATTTTATCCTAATTCAAGGAACATTTTGTTTGCATAATTACCATTTGTTAAATTTCTTCTGCTTGTAGACGTGGGCATGATGATCTTGGGGACCACTTCTTTGAATGTGGAGACTTAAAGTTAGTACCATGGTTACAAAAAACAAAGAAAACATAATTATAGTTATCGAAATGATAATTTTTAACATGAATATGTAGAGGTATTTTTTGTTTCTTTTTGCTATTCTAGAGTCATCTGACTCTAGAATGATCTCCAAACTTAATAAATTTAACTTCCCAAATAATATTTGGAGGTCAAAGTTTTCCTTAATACCTGACTATAAAAACTTAGCATATTAACATGCAAGTAAGTTACTTTACTTAACCACAGTATCACATTCAGCTGCAAGGCTGGTTTCCAAGGGAGCCCTGGTGAAAAAAGATGTGTACAATTTAAATAGTTGAAAGGAGAAAATTCTTTGGGTAAAATAAAAAAGAATCTCAAGAAACCTGAATCAGTATTTGCTGGATGAAAATTACAATATTATTATATAATGAAAGTCTAGTTACAGAGTAAGTCAATAAACAAAGTGTGTGTTTAATAAACAATAGGAAATAAATGCTATAAGGTTTCATATTTTGAAACTGTCTTTGTTTTGTTGTTCACTATAAACAGCAATGCATTAAAGTGTTACTCCAGAGCAAGAGACTACTGTATGAGTGCAAAACAAGTTGTTAATATGTGTGTTAATGTAATCAAGGTAAGCATAATTTCTTACTAACATGTTATACAGAAAGTTTATCTATTTTATTTTTCCATAGGAGTTTGAGTGGTAGACCTAATGTATTAGTGTTCAGTTAAAAGTGCAGATTACTTAAGTTCAAGGAAAGTAATTTGCCAGCATTGCTTCTCTATCTGGCAGCAATGCTGGGTCATTACAGTCAGCACCATGTCAGTGGACTGGTGCCCAGGGTTCCCAGGCCCTCTCTTCTTTCCATTCCCTGCAGTGGTAGAAGAATGTAGAATTATTATCTTTGGTTTGTACTTGGCAGGTCAGCATTCATCTGGGCAACTGGTCACATGTGTTAAATTATGTCAACAAGGCTGAAAATACTTCTGAATTGGCTGAGGTAAGTACATTGTATCAGCTGGTTATAGCTGATTCAACAGGCAGGCAGCTTGTTCCAAAGCAAATGGAGGCATCTACCACTGCAGTAGGTAATAATAAGTTGGTGGAAGTAGGATGACAACGGTCTGTTCTGCCATTTCAATGTATTTAATGCATATTTTTCTATCTACTTGTGTAATACATGCTGTAAGCTATAATTATGATTTAAGTTATAATAATGATAATTATTTATTCAGTTTATCCTCAGCAACTTTTTTCTGATTTTTTCGTATTTACATCGTTTTATTTATTTATTTAATATTAATTTTGTGCTTGTTTATGTCACATTTTTTGACAAAGTTATATCTAGTTTGTTGTGTCATACATTATTCACAGCAAAAAGACAGACGTCCAAACTTGGTGACCCTCACAAGGCTGAAATGTGCAGCAGGTATCACATAACGTAGAAATCATCTATTAATATTTACTTTGTTTAGTCCGAACACGCTTGTATCTGTTTAGATGCCCAGTGCCATTTTCATGTTGAAAGTGCAAATGTAAGCTAAGTATGGCATTCATATTGTGTTCTTGGGACAAGGAAAGGTTCGGTGTACTGATTATTTTTCTACTCTAAAAGGCTAACAGTGGTCCTCACATTTTTTCTCACTTATGGAGCTTGTGAACGCAGAGGAGTCACGACCGGAAATACAGATACGTCTGCGTTCACTGGCTACGAGTATAGTTTGGCCAGCATCAAGTACAAACAAGCATGAAAATTTTAGCCCGCAAGGAAAATGACATGCGCAGGTGGCGATTTTCACCCGCGCGCATTTGAGTATTCATTCTTGTTCCCAGAGCTTCGATCCTTTTGGTCAGCGGCGGGGATCGAAGCTCTGGGAACGAGAATGTTGAGTATTTTGCTCGCTCCAGATTCCTTGAGGAAAATTAAGGACTACTCGTAATATAGACCCCGCCCAAAACACAGTTAGGAGAGAGGCTCAAAGACAGGATTCAAAAATAGTTTGAGACCAACTGCATCAGTGACCTTTTAGCTCCACCATGTATTGTTATCTCGATTCACCAAGATAGATACTTAGAAAAATAAATAAATAAATAAATAAACTTTAAATCTTCCAAACCAACATACGACTTTCCTTTTCTATATTTTGATATTGCTATAAAGCACAATCATTTGTATCCGTAGGTCTGGCTGAACTTGCTACCAGAAAATACAAATCAGCTGCCAAGAATTTCTTGCAGGCATCCTTTGACAACTGTGAATGCCCTGAGGTCAGTGAAATACGCTATATCATGAGAACATACATTTGCTGCCAATCTTTATATTTTATTTACTGAACAATGAATGTACAGTACCGCGAAAGTAAGTTTCCTGGAAACTTACTTTTGCGGTATTGTACATTGGAGTCCACCCACTCGCGAGACGCGAATCGCGTCGCACGCTGCGCGATTCTCGTCTCGCGGGAAACTAGACGCGACTGATAACTTACTTTTGAGNAGTCATGCCCTAGGGGACGCTTTAAAATACAGAATTTCCTGACATGGATGAGGGAATTTTCCGTAAACAGCATGTGATCATGCCGGCTAGGACGTATTGCCGCCGTATTGCCCCTTTTTACAGCTAGCTAGGCTCATTTTTAGGCTCCATGGCCTGAAATGACGAAAAATTCATGCCCTTAATGGAAAAAGTCTAAAAAAGTCCTCGAAATTTTAGTTTCCAAGCCGTTAATGGCCTCCCTCCTAAGAGGTGCTAAAAGTCCGGACAGTCAGTACTTTCCCGCGCTTCTTGCTCCACTTCAGTTCCCTGAGAAAAGATTTGGGACATCTATATCTTTTCGTTGCTGTCTAAACAGCTATAGTTCTAATTTTTCCGTAATATTGTTGATAAATACCTAGCCTGCGAATATCCAGCCCGTCGTTACGAGACCTATTTTATTTGCCAACGCCGGACTCTGGTGGTTTCGCGAAACATGATCTTGTAAATTTTGGTCTTAAAGAGTAATCCAATGATGTCTAATGTATTTTACATTTAGATTGGTGAAATTATAATAACTTTTTTTGTTACGTGATGTATAGGTTAGAAACAGATAAACTTTCTTTCCGGCTTTTTTAAATGGTATATATAAATTCATCGCTGACTTTTCTAGGTTTTTCTAGCTGTATAGTGAGTGGTACTGGCATGTTTAACCTTCATTCAACAGATTATTTCGCCAAATAACGTCGCTGTTTATGGAGGACTTTGTGCCCTTGCTTCGTTCGACAGACAAGAGCTTCAAAAGAAAGTCTTATCCAGCAGGTAAAATGTAGTACTGGCTGAGCTATGTTTTGTTCAAACATCAGTTACAATTCTAGTAAGAAGGACATACAGTATCACATACTATAAGGTCGAGGATCAGCGAAAAGGCTGGAATTGTAATTGTGTTACGAATCACTTTTTTTAATGACAAAGATGAACGACACTCCAGTCTCTGTTTTTCCTTGTCTTTCAATTTTCGGGTTACAACCTATAGTGTTTTTTTGCGGGGAGTGAGGAAGCACAGAAGATGCCATGATATATTTGCGGCGTTCAGCATATTGCAAATTTGCTTTTTTTCAGAACTGAAGGTTTGTGTGTTTGTTCCCAAGTAAAGAACTAAAGACAGTAGTTTTGTTGGTGTATTTTTAGTTCCTTTAAGCTGTTCTTGGAGCTAGAGCCACAGTTAAGAGATGTGTTGTACAAGTTTCATGAGTCACAGTATGCAGCTTGTCTAAAACTACTGGATGAAATGAAGGTACGTCTGCATTAACTTGAAGCCTTCTTGTCCAAATTATTTTGATCTGAAACAATCTTGTTCATAAATTGCGAGAGGCCAGCGAAATGATCACTTAAGATGAATTTACCGTTTTTCAGGTGATTTATGCAATATAAATCATAGATAAATGCTGGTTTTGACTAGCGACTGAGTTGGAGTCTTATTAGAAGCGCGGAGAGTCATGATCTAGTGCAAATTGTCGAAGTTGCAAGCAAAAGTGGAAGAACTAAACCAATCACAAAGCATGGGAACGAGCATTTTGATTGGTTTAGTTATTTTTCTTCTACCTGGGACTCCGACAATCTAGTTTTTACTGGATCATAAGCAACAAATTAAGCGGAGTTGTGGTACAATAGTGCATGGTATCGGTGAACACATTCTTTTGATTAATGTCACAAATGATAGGGCCATTTATACCAGGAAAAATAAGACGCGAACTGTACCATTTATACGAGCATGTCTTATCTAAGACGGGAACAGCTCGTATAAATGGTTTGCGTCTTATTTCTGTTCTTGACTTGTTTTCACGTGAATCGGCAATCCAACGTGGCGCGCCAAAAATTAACGCATGCATACTATGCGTTCGCGTCTTATGTAACACGCAAAGGTCATTTATACGAAATTTTTCTCGTCTTAGCTAAGACGCGTCTTATCTAAGAACAGGTGTTAAGGGCTGTTCTAAAAAAAGACGCGTCTTAGCTAAGCCGCGTCTTATTTTAGACGAAATGTCCCGTTTATACGGAAAGTTCAAGTCTTAAAAGACGCGTCCTATGTCAGACGCGTGTTGTTTTTCCTCGTATAAATGGCCCTAATGTGAGAAAACCAGCTGGGAGAATTGTACAGAGTAAGTAGTAGTGAACAGTCATGTGTTCGAATTCTTCAGTCACGATATTCACGCGATGTGATTATCTGAAGTAGTACCATCTGTGAAACGAGAAAAAACGGAGTGTAAATTTTGAACATAAGGAAAATATTCGCCTTAGTCGTGAAGTATTTTTGTGATTCTCTCCAGTTGTTCTCGTTTTGCCGTGTTCTTATAGCCCGTGGTGCACTGTGCAGCAGGCGTTTTTATAAAGGTTATGGTGTAAGTGGCACGAGCGATCTCCTACTCTCCCCGGTCTCTCTCGACTTTCAAAATCATAGCAACTTCAGGGACTACAGGGCGAAGCCTAGCCTCCCACACAGACGTTTTTAGGGGAGCTCGTTTTTCATCCCTCCCCTCCTCTTGCGGGGAGGGATGAAAGACGAGCTCCCCTAAAAATGCCTTGCCGAGCGCTTGCTTGCCCGAATACACCTTGTGCTAGTCTTTGAAAAGATCAGGACAGATGTCAAAATCGTGATTTTTATTATCCCGATCGTATATTGGTCGGGACTCGGTATTTCCTAACAAATACCGGGAGAATCCCGACAAGATCAGGATGGTTGGACACCTCTTTTTGTCGAGTAGTAACCTGAATGTTTGTTAATATTTTTTCTTACTTCGCAGGACAACTTCATGTTGGACATGTATCTTGCGCCACATATCAACACGTTATACAGTCAAATCAGAAACAGAGCTTTGGTGCAGGTACCCTAGCATTTTGATGTTTCGTTTGCTCAGTGCTTCTTGGCTCCATTTTTGTCAGCAGTTTTGAACCTTACCTTGCAGGGCACTTTGCAAGAAACCCTGATACGGAGACAGAATTTCTTCGCCTCTCATTTTGACTTGTTCACATTTTGAGAACGTTCTCTGAAAATTGTTATACGAAACCCGAAAAATTACGAATCGTTTAATCAGTTTCCTTGAAGGCAACAGTCGGTTTGCCGAAAGCCCGGATCCTGTTAAAAGAAAGTCACGATATGTTTGCTTGGCGGAGGCTTTAATCATTTTAAAGGGCTGAAAATCTTGCAGTGATTGATTTCAAAGCCAACAGTATTACGGTATGTGTTTGTACAGGGACACCCAACGCCTGTTTTCTGTAAAATATCTTGTTCGGAGAAGCAAATATTGCCTAGAATTTTCCAATACTTAAGGACAGTTAAAACTTTCTAGATGACCGTTCCGTTCATGTATCGTTTTCGAAGCTTATCTAATAAATTCCCTACGATTTTCTGAAGTTTAATTTTCACATTTTTTTTCCCCAAGTTAGGATATTTTTCGTAGAAAAAAGGAAAAAAAAAAATTCCCAAGCTAGGCTAAAAAGTTCTTATAAAAATGGTGCTAGCTGGAAAATTAGGCTACTCGGGCTCTTAAACAGGTTTTTATTTTTAAAAATAAATAAGGTGATTGTCATTGGTGGGTGTGGCCTATTTCGGGCCTATTAGTATTTTTGGTATTGCATGCACAATGTTGTAAAAATCCCTTTAATCCAAGCCATTTATGAAGTTTATACAAAGCTATGTAGGTTAAACAGAACAAAAACAACATCAGAACATGATACTGTGTTGCTGCTGGGCCAAACATGGTACTGGATTTCTCAAAATAAGAACCTGTTTCAAAATTGTTGGCTAAAACAGGTTCTTATTTAATAGAGTTCTACATGGAAAATCTTAGCCTTACAGGTTCTTAAAATCTAGGTTTTTACTGTACTCTGGATAGCCTAAAAAGTGTTTTCAAGATGTATTTAGGATGAAACCGTCGATAGGTGCCCCTGTTTATAGTATTTATTCCTTTTTAGTACTTCAGTCCTTATGTGTCAGCGGACATGGAGAAGATGGCGCATGCGTTCAACACAACAGTGTCAAACTTGGAAGACGAACTGTCACACTTGATACTTGAGGGTCAAATACAGGCCAGAATTGACTCGCATAACAAGGTATAATCGTGTTATTAATTGTTCTGTCAGAAACCCAGATTTTGTCTTTACCATTTTTATTTTATTATTTATTGCTGGCGAGACTTATGCGAGCCAGCGCACCGTTCTCTACAGAGGGAAAAAAAGCGGCATTTACTTCGTGTACCGGACATAAATGACGTAAAACAAAAGACAGGGCTTCCGGAATTATGCGCGGATGCGAAATTGCATAATTCGGCTCTGAGTGCATAATTCGCATTATTCCGAAAAAAACGCATAATGGCGCATAATTCTCGAAAATTTTGAAAAATCTGTTAGTAAGCTATGTTTTTTCATACCTTGAGAAGTGCGTGGAAATTTTTTTCCCGTAAATATAGTACATTTTCACAGCAAATAGCCACCGCTTCATTGCAAAAAGCGTTCACAAATATGGCAAATCATTCCAGGCGTTCTATGCTGCTGGCCGTTGGGGCCTGTGCTCTAGTTTTTTATATAACACGCGCCATGATTGGAAGAAATATAACCAATCACAGCTTGGAAAAGAAAAAAAGCGCCCTTCTTCGATTTATTTGGCAGCAAAACAACTTCCTTCCCGTGTTTTCGCTTTGAAAATGGATAAGTTTGTATTAAAAGTAAAACCAAAGAAAAAGCCATGTAGCATTACACCACAACAGCGGGCTGAGCAATATCCCGGGAAGTTCCATGCAGATAACAATTTCCTATTTTGTTCAACTTGTGATGTTGTTGTGGATCACCACCGAAAGTCAGTTCTTGACAAGCACCTTTCAGCTGTTTCACACATCAAGCGAATGGATGAATCCTCTTCGAAGCGAGCGAAACAACAGACATTGAAGACGTCATTCAAGTGCAAAACTCCAGCTCACGAAGAGAAAGTGGAAGTCTGCCATGAGTGGAAGGAACGAGAAATACGTTTGGTGTAATAAATCGATGTTGCTCATCATATTTGTACTGATATGTTTTATTTCAATTATAAACATGTGACTTTATCTCACTCACCCTGAAAAATCATGGCAGCATCAGTCAGTAAGTTTTTTTTTTGTTGACTTACTTACTTTATTGACTTACTAACTTACTTTGACTTACTTGATTTGCAAGCTTAATAACTTGAAATTAAAAATTTTCGCTTAAAAATATTGCGCAATTCGCATAATTCGCGCATAACTCGGGACTTTTGGCGCATAATTCGCCAAAAAATAGTGCATAATTTACTGGAAAAAAACGCATAATTCCGGAAGCCCTGAAAAGAACAAAAACCATGAAACAATACCAGGCATAATTTTCCCTGAACAGAAAACGAAGAGGTCTTTTGTTTTACGTCATCTGTGTCCGGTACACGAAGTTCTGACGAAAAAGGCAAAATTTGTCGGATGTAAGATCAGAGGCATGCGCAGTTGATTAGTTTTCTTATTATTCGGGGTATTCACTCCTTTGCAGACGCACCTGGACGAGAGATTTCGATTTTTGTTTTCTAGATGTCTTTATTTGCTTGTGAAAGTATTCATCAATGTCTCGATCCAGAGCGTTTTAGTGATGAATCTCGAGGAAGACGAGAGATTTATATGTGTTTGTGTGTTTGCTGGCTGCTAGAGGTGCGAAGATGTCGATCAAATCCTCATTCATGGAGATTGTTTTCTCTCTGGGCACTCAGCAGAAATGATGTGCCAGGCAAAACCTTTCTCTGTTCCGGCGGAGGAAACAGTCGACTCTAGCTTGCTGGTCTCGGGAGAAAAGAGCAGAAAGCTGCAAGGCAAACCAGCTTTGCATCTAAAGCGACTTCGGTACCAGTTGCAATTCATTGAAGTACTCTTCGCCCGTTGAGGCGTTAAAATTCGATTGTTGTGTTAAAATTTCTGCCCGTTGAGGTAAACAATTAAGCTGATAATTTGACCATGGGTCACATTTGTCAGTTGAGGCGAAAGAAAAGCTTGGACCTATATTGATTCAAAGTGTGTATCTCTCTTTGAAGCTAACCCCTGGCTAAGCATTTAACTGTAAAATTATTTGACTGTCGCGTTGACGAGTGCCTGTACCGTCGAGTCGAATTGTTTTTAAACCCTCAAGTCAAAAGAAACTTCTCGCACCTCCATAGGCGAATCGGCAAAAATTGTTAACATAGTAGAGCAGCCAAACACATAATAGTATCTTGTCTTCCTCGGGATCCATCACTTAACCGTTGGTGACCTCGATGAAATTATTTCCATAGGCAAGTAAAGAAATCTAAAAATATAAAGAAGCAATTACTAAAAACTCAGGCCTCGTCTATTATCTGCTTGCGGTTTGGAAATTTACTCGATCTTTTAAAAAGGCTTACTCACCCTAGCTCCCAGGGGTAATTTTCATTTTCTTCACTTTATTTATTTTCAAACTGTTTACTCCGCATTATCTTCCAGCTCTGACGCCAGCACTTACTTTCAAATTGAAACTCCTAGCTTAATATCGCAACCACCCTTCCCTTTCAACTTCTACCTGTACGCCTAACAAACATATCGAACGCACTCTCCTTAGCTCCGATTACTCCTAGTTTATTTATTTATTTTCATACATCGTTATTATTCATTCATTGTAACAAACATTTTTTCGGAAATTTTTAAGAAAATAGCTTTTATAAGGAACTTGATCGTATCACAAAACTCCTTTGTTCAATTTTTCTTGAGGATTTACTCACGGAAGTACGATATGGACAGGATTTCTGCCAATTTCGTCAAATTTTAATGAGAAGGTTTTGTGTTATCATCGTTAGTTTACATTGTCTATTTTAATAGACAATGTAAAAGTGAACAAAACAACAGCTATCATATTGCTTCNTGTCTTCCTCGGGATCCATCACTTAACCGTTGGTGACCTCGATGAAATTATTTCCATAGGCAAGTAAAGAAATCTAAAAATATAAAGAAGCAATTACTAAAAACTCAGGCCTCGTCTATTATCTGCTTGCGGTTTGGAAATTTACTCGATCTTTTAAAAAGGCTTACTCACCCTAGCTCCCAGGGGTAATTTTCATTTTCTTCACTTTATTTATTTTCAAACTGTTTACTCCGCATTATCTTCCAGCTCTGACGCCAGCACTTACTTTCAAATTGAAACTCCTAGCTTAATATCGCAACCACCCTTCCCTTTCAACTTCTACCTGTACGCCTAACAAACATATCGAACGCACTCTCCTTAGCTCCGATTACTCCTAGTTTATTTATTTATTTTCATACATCGTTATTATTCATTCATTGTAACAAACATTTTTTCGGAAATTTTTAAGAAAATAGCTTTTATAAGGAACTTGATCGTATCACAAAACTCCTTTGTTCAATTTTTCTTGAGGATTTACTCACGGAAGTACGATATGGACAGGATTTCTGCCAATTTCGTCAAATTTTAATGAGAAGGTTTTGTGTTATCATCGTTAGTTTACATTGTCTATTTTAATAGACAATGTAAAAGTGAACAAAACAACAGCTATCATATTGCTTCCAAAGTACGCATGCTTAACATCTGTGCGCACGCTGAGATCACGTGCTCTGTTAGACTGCGAGCAGTCTCTCTTTTTCTTCAGATTTAGTGGGAGCAATGCACGCTCCCGTCTCGCGCCATCAGTCACGCGCGTGGCCATTTGCGTGTCTCGCGTTTTGCTCGACAGACCACAGAAAAAAAGAGAGACTGCTCGTAGTCTAGTGCTCTGTCGAAGGCGATGTTCCTATCGACAAGTTACAAATGGCCTACTGCTACAGTCTACACTTTTTTTAAAATACTAATTCTTCTTGTTGACCTCCACAATTGTAGGTGCTATTTGCGCGAAACGTGGATCAACGAAGTGTAACTTTTGAAAAAGCGTTGGAAATGGGGAAGGAATACCACAAGAGGACAAAGGTTAGTTCATCTCGGCAGCTAAAGTGAAGTTCGCACAGGTGTGCCACAGTTGACACACACACACACACTATACTTTATTCCATGCACATCATTTTGCTATCTCCACCCGCAAATAGCAAAAGCTAGACGAGGCGGGCGGAGAGGAAAGGTTACAGCAGTCATAACAGATAATATAATAATTGTAAAGTAACTAAACTATCTGGGTAAATAAGAATTACTGAAAAACAAGCTAGAGTTACAAAATATATAGTCTTACAGAATGATGTTACAATCAAATTTACTACTAACAGAACCTATCGATTATTAGTACATTGAGTCGAGGATGCAGAATTTGACTTTGAAGTTGAGAAATAGTATACTAGGATCTGGAAGGTATCACTTACTTGTTGGGNAAAATACTAATTCTTCTTGTTGACCTCCACAATTGTAGGTGCTATTTGCGCGAAACGTGGATCAACGAAGTGTAACTTTTGAAAAAGCGTTGGAAATGGGGAAGGAATACCACAAGAGGACAAAGGTTAGTTCATCTGGGCCGCTAAAGTGAAGTTCGCACAGGTGTGCCACAGTTGAGACACACAGACACACTATACTTTATTTCATGCACATCATTTTGCTATCTCCACCCGCAAATAGCAAAAGCTAGACGAGGCGGGCGGAGAGGAAAGGTTACAGCAGTCATAACAGATAATATAATAATTGTAAAGTAACTAAACTATCTGGGTAAATAAGAATTACTGAAAAACAAGCTAGAGTTACAAAATATATAGTCTTACAGAATGATGTTACAATCAAATTTACTACTAACAGAACCTATCGATTATTAGTACATTGAGTCGAGGATGCAGAATTTGACTTTGAAGTTGAGAAATAGTATACTAGGATCTGGAAGGTATCACTTACTTGTTGGGAAAGTAACAACTGTTGAAACTAATACACTTTTGAATTGAAATATATGAAATGAATCATATTTTGAACTGCGGATAAAGGTATTTCAACCGCATAGTTAGGTTGTTCATTCTACTACGACGATCATTTTCATTTTCCTCATTGTTGGCTTTTATCTTGTTTTAGGCTTTAATTCTCCGTGGAGCCATCCTGCGTAACCAAATCGTCGTCAAAGTAAGTTTTCTGTAACTACAACCTAGAAATAAACAAAAAGAAAGAAAGAAAGCGACAACAACAACAGCCAGAGATAATATCACATTTTGTTCGGGAAGGGGATTGATGGGCGTGTTCCAGTAGAGGAGCTCGCTAGCCGTAAACCGGCCATGTGAAGTTTAGTGGGGAATTGTTAGAACAATTGCTTATGCTAGCGTGGATCAGTCATGCCCTCCTCATAGTTCCTGTAAAAAAGAAGCGCCTAATTGCAACGTATAAGCATACTGAGGGAAGAAAATTAATCTTTAAATGACCAAAACATGAATCTGTAACTGTAAAAACCAGCATTTAGGCCATCCGCTTTGTCCGTACGCACTTATTATGGCCTGTCCTGCGGTTGCTAAATAGAAAAGCGCCTTGCGGGTTCAATTTTATTTTTACTTGGTCTAAACTTCAAAGCATTTGTTGAGGCACCTGTTTTTGTCAGGGAGTAAGTGAAAGTAGTTTTTACTTTTTTGAACACAGGAACGTCAACAAGCCTTTTTGTTTGTATTCTTAGAGCCCTCCTCGAGAATCCAGCTCTGGAGATGTGTCTATGCCGGCTGCGAGATAAACAGCGTTCAGTACCATGAAGATCTTGTTATCTTTAGAATGCAAGAGTACAAAACCAGGTTTTCGCCAAAGAGTTAAGGTGAAAGATGTAAAGGCGATGAGAGTGTTGCGAGGACAGGAAGGTTTAGGGCTCGAAAAAATGTCCCGTTCGGTCGTCCAGAGCAAGACGTAGATTTTCTTGCTTTTTAAAGCTCACATGCCCAGTAGGCAAGGGTTGCAGCAATTCTTTTTATAACTTAAGTATTACCTAAGAAATATCATCAATATCAAGAAAAATTAGTATCTCCAAAGGACGAGCTAGGTTTTTTTTCGAGTCCTGAGGTGTAAAAAACCATAATAAACTGTTTTTCATCAGTGCTAGCTTGTAAAGCATAGTACAAGAAAACAAAGATGACGCTTGTTTATATTGAGGTAGTGGATAAAACCGCTGTTGCGTTCTCTGTGGTTGTAGAATTTGAACTGTCATGATTTACAATAAACATTTCTTTGAAAGGATATCGTTTTCTTGTTGTTGTTGTTGTTGTTGCTTTCTTTGTGCGTATGCTTGTATTGTTTAACTTGAATAGAACGGGACAGTTTGCCGTCGAAACATCTAGCCGTTCAAAATCACTTTAGTTAATACCTTGAATTTTAAAATTATGATTCATGACTTGGTTTACGCCATCGTTATGAGAAAAGTGCCAAACTATCCTCAAAATAAATATCAGAATCAGTGATATACTGATTATAGCATAAAAGGTAGGAAAACTTTCGGAACCGTGGTTAATATAGGTTGTTTACCATCTACACGGGCAAACAGGTCGGTTCACGGTTTGGGTAAATGGCAAGCAAAAATCGGACATGGAAAAATGGCGTTTACCATATCAGTGTACAAATCAGCTCCATCTACCGAAAAACGGTTGCGAACGCCTAAACTGATATCAAAGACGGCTTTAAGAAAATGGAACTCGAAAAACAGGATTACCTTTTCAGATGTTCCGTTGCTCCAAAATAGTCCTCCGGAACGACCCAAAAAGTCGTGTCCCATTTTCTTTCCAACCAGATTTTCCAGAAACTTCTTGCAAATGGTAAACACCATCGTCTCCGATACAGGATAGTATGCTACGCCAAAAGTGACAAAATATCAAAGATGCAACTTTATGATTCAAATCCACCAATTTACTATCAAAATCGATAAAATTAACATCAAGTTGCTTTATGAATGTGTCAAATTGTAGAATTTAATTTCAATTCCCACGTGTTTCATGTCATGTATCAAGTTACACGTTTTCTAAATCAAGATGCATGTTTTTTAAATCAAGAAGGGAGACGACAATTTTTGATAGTTTTGTTTCCGAGAGGGACTGAAACCGAGCACACGAGTTGGAATTCAAGGTTTAAAAGTGTTGACGGGCCTGCACGATTCCTGCAGTTCGCAAATAGATTGGTCTCTTAAAACTATGGCGTTATAGTTTAGCTCTAACTTGAGTATCTCTTAGGAGCCATTATCTGAGAAAATCGAGAATCGCAAGACACTCGTCAAAAACTCGAATTTTTTGTTATTTTGCCAAAACATCCCTTTTAGTGACCTTATTTAAGGAAAAATAGTTCTGGGTTCAAACGATTCATTTTAAAGGAGAAATTTTAAAAAGTTTGAAAAATCGATTTTATGCCTGTTTTTCGCACAAAACACGGCAGGATGCGATGGCAACTTCGAGAGAAGGGTGAACGCGTAAGAAACATTCCCTGACATTGAAACTTCACCGAATTATTATTTTGTTCTTACTCTTGAAAATCCTAAAAGAAAATTTGATAAACAATGTTTTATATTTTTATAATCGACAAGTGTAAAGAGGTCATTTTTGTGACGTTAGACGTGCTAGAAAATGAAGGCCAATTTTGACTATTAAACAAGGCCTCTGGTATATGACGCTTGATCATAAAATCAATATCCATTTGGGAATTCATATTTTTACAAAGTTTTTAAAAAAGTTTACTAGTACTATTAAAAAATTTTTTTCAAAATTCTTTAACAGTGAAAAATATTTTTCTTTGATATTCTCAATATTACTGTATACTAATAAATGGAAAAATGGGCAAAAAAGAAGTGACTTTTCGCGAAATTGATTTCATGGTATATAAGTAAATTATACTAATAAATTGTGGAATGGGCGAAGAAGGCTTGACCTTAAAGCGAGATTTTCATTTACTATGATATAAATTATATTTACCAATAAATGGTAAAACGGGCCAAAAGGCCATGAATTTTTTGCGAGATTTTCATTTACTAGTATCTTCACGCTATTTACTAGTAAATGGTGGAATGGGCGAAAAAGGCTTGACCTTTTAGGGAAATTCTCATTTACTAGTATCTTGACACTATTTACTAGTAAATGGTGGAACGGGCGAAAAAGTGGTGACTTTTTAGCGAGATTCTCATTTCCCGTAGCAAAAACCTGTGTGACTTCTGAACGCTAGCGAGATTTATGAACTCTAAATGGAATAAGGCGACTACGTTTATTCCCACGCCCAGAAAAGACAATGGAATTGCGAAACGTTCTACAATTTATCAGATATAGACTCTAATAAAAATATAGCTTTACTCGATGTCTCTAGCAGACCCCGGGAGACAATTGATTACATTTATGGACCAGAAAAGTAAGCTTCACGTTTACCCAAACATCAGTAACAGCTTTGTTCCTGGTCGCAATCGTTGCCCCGTTATATTTAAAAGTTCTTAATGATTACATGGGTGCAGGGTATTTGCCTTATAATTGTTCTCATCTCTTGTTGTTCATATCTAGTCAGTGTTGTTGGTTGTGGATTTCGCAACAGAAGAATGGGGATGAGCGCATTTTGTAAAGCCTATATTTAACCTCTTTCATGGCCATTCAAAGTTGTCTGGTGTTTCCAAAAGGTGGGTGTTGTTACAGGGTAACGTTTATGGGAAATAACGCAATTTCAAAAGAGGTCAATTAACGTCTCTTTACATTTCTTTAAACCCCGTTCTCTAATGCACCAAAAAAACCCAGCCTCCTTTTATTTTTCTTAACTGCACAGAAATGGACTAGGCCGGGGAAGGGGAAAATCTGGAAGCGAACAGCGTGACTGAGAAAAACACAGCTTTTCTTCTGGGTAGACTAGAGATCCCGCCCACCGGAATAACAACAACAACGACAACAACCAACCAACCAACCTTTTTATTTTGCCAACTTAAAACTTACAAGAACAGCTTAAATTAAAAGAGATCAGGCAAAAAAGTACTCAGAATAGCAAATAGAACTAAACGAGCTGAGTAGTTACAATAATTAAATTACCTTGTATAGGGCTGCAACACACGAAAGATAGAGACTCAGAGGAAAAATATTATGAATTTAGGAGGAAGTAAAGGGTACGTGCGGCCAAAACCGGGGTTTCACAATCACACAGGAAAAATAAATTATTAATTGAAACTTCCACTAATTATCTCCTGTTAAGTGAGACAAAAGAACAGTAGAAAGTGGCTTTCTTTCTCTCCTGCTTTCGAACTGTTTTGTCCGTTCCTTTTCTGTCTAAAATGCCTTTTCCTTTCATTATTATGCATTATTTAAATACTAATAAATTCATTTTCTCGCTAAAAAGTCATTTCTTTTTTGCCCGTTTTTCCATTTATTGCCGACGAGGCAACCGAGCTAAGAAGCGAGGTTGCCTCGGCGGCAGATTTATAATCCCGTACGATGTAGGCAAAACCTCTCAAATTCTGCGTAACCCTCTAAAATTCGCATTTTTGACCATATTTGGGTGTAAGTAAGACCCCAAATTTGGGTAATGACGTCATGGTCTTGTATTTACAACGCGTGGTCCGAAAATTGGGTGATTCAGTGTGCAGCTGTTCGTTGTCTGTTCAAGAGGCCCTAACAGGTGAGCAAGCTTTAATACGATTTCTCGTTTGAAAGGGCTATTAGTGCTCTGGTCTGCTTTATAAAATTGCGTTTAAAACAGCAGCTGATCAAGGAATAGGGTTTTACGCTCCAATTTTTGTCAGAACCAGCTTGTTCTTTGCAGCTCTATTTACAATGAGGCAGCGTGTTCGCTTCTCGACTCAGAACCAGGGTTTTCCGTGTTCTCTTTTCCTTTGTGAATTGAATTTTAAGCGGTAGTTGATCAAGGCAATAGGGTTATATTCTCAAAACGTATATCAGAACCAGCGTGTTCTTCGCAGGTCGATTTACATTGAGCCAAACTTCACCTCCCGTGAGGAATGCAACGTATTTGCGGATCTTTTTTTAGAATTTATTCATGTCTTTAGATTTTGTCAACCAGCATGTTTTTTGCAGCTCGATTTACATTGAGACAGCCCAAAACTTCCGTGAGGAATACAACGAACTTGCGAACCTTTTGTTTTGAAGACTATCATAATTATGCCTGCTAAGAGAATCTTTGTCCTGTGACACTCGCTCATTAGATCTTTGTATTTTATTCAAGTTCATATTTTTATACCTCTGATAGATTCCGCCCCATTCTTGCGCTTTTCACACAGTTTACTTTACACCAATTTTTTCTTATGTATATTACTACACGAAATATATATTTTTTTTATCCCCGATGACGCTGTTGTTCGGAATTTAATTATTATTTTTAATTTCAGCAGTCAAAGGCCTTATTTGAACTATATTTTTCTTTCTAAAGTTTATAGTTTCGATACAATGGAATTTTCCATGAAATATAAGTGCTATCTTGCTCATAATTTACCAACAAAGCTTCAGGCTATGTTGTTATTGTTTAATAAAAGTGAAAGCCTAGAGTGTGCCAAAGTTGTTGTTTTGAAGTTGAGTACCATCCTTTTCTAGAGCGGAATCCATTTTAAACCTCTAAAATTATGAAAATATATATATATATATATACATATCGCGAAGATTTGAATAGGCACATTCCACAAAAGATAAACGAATTCGCCTCGTTGGCACTTGCCGGAAGGTACCCCTAGTTAGCATATTTTATTTAAATACTAATAAATGCATTGTCTCGCTAAAAAGTCATTTCTTTTTTGCCCGTTTTTCCATTTATTAGTATATTTTATTTAAATACTAATACATGCATTTTCTCGCTAAAAAGTCATTTCGTTTTTGCCGGTTTGACCATTTATTAGTATACATTATGTAATTTATTAAATTTGTCTCTTTAACTTTCAGTGGTAAAGTTTTTTGCTAAAAATATTTTTACTAGTTCTAGTACGTTTTTTGAAAACTTTGCAAACATCTGATTACCCCACGAAAGATAGAGACTCAGAGGAAAAATATTATATATTTAGGAGGAAGTAAAGGGTACGTGCGGCCAAAACCGGGGTTTCACAATCACACAGGAAAAATAAATTATTAATTGAAACTTCCACTAATTATCTCCTGTTAAGTGAGACAGAAGAACAGTAGAAAGTGGCTTTCTTTCTCTCCTGCTTTCGAACTGTTTTGTCCGTTCCTTTTCTGTCTAAAATGCCTTTTCCTTTCATTATTATGCATTATTTAAATACTAATAAAT